AAGGAGAATGGGATCTGTTAGTGTCTCTGAAATGTTACAGACATTTTATTGAATCTGTTATCTGCAGGTTTGGGAACACGACTCAGCAAACTCTCAGGGTGTTGGCAAGATGGGCTTTTGGCCATCAAGCATGTGCTGAGGAAGGCTCCTCTATGTTAATTGTTTCAACCATCAACTTCACAGTAAGTCTGACTTGTTGCCCTGTGGCCATCGTTTTACCTGTGAGGACCAAAAGACTCCGGGTTTCTCCTTTTATCCCTACTGCAGCCCGTCTCCTTGTTGCCCTCGCTGCTAAACTAACTTCTCCTTGTGGGACAATAAAGTTTTGAATTGAATGGAATAAAGACTTAGTAAATCTGATGAGCGCTGGGCGTGTCTCCAAAGGAGCGAGGTTATAGAGAGCTGTGACCAGCAGCAGTCTGTGGAGGGACAAACCATAAACTGCTAACAGGATGCTGGAGGACAGCCTGATTCACAGTGGCTCCAACTTATAGGAGCAACGGATCTGCTGCCATTGTGTGCCAGATACCGCACACTAGCCTCAGATGTCCCCTACAGACCATGCATCGGTAGGTTGGACATGTTTTTGCAGCATGTGAAGATCTAACCGTATATTAGGCAGGGGTGGTTATGGGCTCATTCAACTCCTGGACCTGTGGGTAGATTGGTTTTTACAGTGAGGTTGAATCTATTTCAGTAGGTCTATAAATTAAACTGCAGACGTGGTGGTCTAACGTGCAACAATACAGCCACTGCTCAGTATGGTAAAGATGGGTTGTGGAGCCAAAGACGAGGTTTAACATAATAATTGTCATTAACGTTCTGTTCTAGACATCTACTGGAGTTTTTCTCATCATTCAGGTCCAGTTTTCCGTCTTCCTGTCTGCGTTTCCAATCATGTTCGTTGCTAATGAAAACCCGTCCAGGCGTCACATCACTCCAGGCAGACCAGTTTTATTTTCCCTCTCGTTAGCTTTGCTCCCAGTGACTTACATGGTGGAGGGGACAAGAGAAGGCTTTGCCAATGGTCATGGCCTGACACGTGAACACATGAAAGACCACAAGGAAGTGTTTGCTGTAACCCTCCTCTGCATTGTACCTGAGTCATTTCATCCTGGTGCCCGGCCTGGCCGGTGGGCTGGACTTTACAGTACAATCATAGCAGCACAGATATTATTTTGTTGATTGTTGTGTTTGCCTTTTCAACCTTTACTGACAATACACAACGACGATTAAACAAAAACACTGAGGAGAGGCGTTTCTTATATCTGCTGACCAGGTTTATGAATAGAGGAGACATCATTTTACCAGTTGGTTACCAGAACAAACGTGATATTTAAAACCAACTGAGGTGCCATGAAAAAGTGTTCACTGCCTTCCTGATTTATTTGTTTTTTGAATATTTGTCTCACGTTAATGATTGAAATCATAAAACAAATTTCAATATTTACTTTGAATATCTAATCTTCTGTGGCCCTGTGTGGAAGTAAGCTGAGCTGAAGGTGGAGAGTTGGAGAGTCTAGTCTGTGTGAGCGGCAGCTGAGGTTGGGTGCTGTTACAGAGGGTTTGGACATGTGCAGTGGGTCTTCTTTACAGCACACTGATGATGGAGTTCCACAGGGTTCTGTGCTAGGACCAAATCCATTTATATTACTTACCATAGGCAGTATGTATAATACTGTAATGTATGTATAATACTCTTGGTAACAGTGGGAAAGAAAAACTCCTTTTAACAGGAACAAACGTTCTGCAGCTGCCTGCTGCGACGGGCTCTGGGTGAGAGCTGCGAGGCAGGGGGGAAAGGACAGGAGGACTCATGGATGATAGGATCAGATGGATGCATATCATGGAGAAGTCTATAAGGAACAGGTGAGAAAAAGTTAAAAGCAACATAACACTTTCACTGTCTTCTGTTGAGTGCCTGCTAACTACCATTCACATTCTGATAGAAGCAGCTTTGGGTTAATACCTTGCCCTAGGATATTTGGCCTGCAGACTAGAGGCAGCCAGGGATTGAACCACCAACCTTCCGATCAGCAGATGCCCTGCTCTACCTCCTGAGCTCCAGCCACCCTTTTCAGCCTAACAGCATCCGAGACGCTTGCTATAATGCTGATCAACTGTTATTCTAGTAAAATGACTGTGGAGAGCATGAGCAAATGTTTGGAGAATGCTCTGAGGAGCAGATGTAAGACCATTACTCAATAAAATTGCAAGCACCGTCGTCTGCCAAGTGGACAAATTAAAGGAAGAAAAAACTCTCGTCTCAGAGTTAAACAGTTCACGGTGATGTCTAAAATGAAGACATCTCTTTTCATTTTCTCTGTAGTTATCAATATAACCATTGTTTATTATCACAAATGAAGCAAGTCTTAAATATTGAAATCATTTTCTTGAAAAGGCCGTTGGGGACCTTTTGTTATGCTTTCCAAATAAGAATAAGAGACCTGAAAAAGACAAGTGCTTTTCCTGATAAAGACTCAACAAATCACCAGCTAGGATAAGCTAGCACGCTGCAGTTTGGGAAGCAGGCTGACAAATGTCTTGACTGGAGATGTTTGTCCTGGCACATAGCATGGAACAAACAGTCGAGAGCTAAACATGGTCATAAAATCTCCTTCGTGTCCTTTTGGCAAACCTGGATTCAGAATCTTGAGTCATAACGCCCATTCCACTGATGACATGCATGCTATCTTTAATTATGATAAAAAATAAAAAATGCAAATGAATAAAATATAATAGAAATACAATACAAATGTGTGCCTGTGTGGGGCAGGGATAGCTCAGTAGGTAGAGTGATCCCCACATGATCGGAAGGTCGGAGGTTAGAATCCACTAAATGGTTACCCTGAGATACCCCTGAGCAAGGTACCGTCCCTACACACTGCTCCACGGATAGGTGGCTGCCCACTGCTTCACTGAGTGAATGGGTTAAATGCAGAGGGCTAATTTCCCTGTGGGGGTTAATAAAGTATGCATTGCATACTTGCAGCCTACATGCATTTAGGTTTGTGAGCCTCATGGGCGCTGCTGCACGTGGATCACAAGTTAACCCTAACCCTCTTAGTACAGATACTATATATAATAAGTATATATATGCAAAATGTGCTTTACTATATGTATTAATTCATCCTGTCCTGATGAGATGGTCATCTGTCTCACCTGTCACCTGTGTGTGGGGGTGGGGCTAAACTGGCTCTTTTCATGTTGTAGGTTACAACCCCTGGTCTACACACGTATCCTGACCATTAGAAATTAACTTCAAACCATAGCTGGTTGGCTCGGTATTAAAACTAGCAGACACTACAGCAGAGCCAATGCATTGGGGCGATTGTGGCTCAAGAGTTGGGAGTTCGCCTTGTAATCAGAAGGTTGCCGGTTCGAGCCCCGGCTTGGACAGTCTCGGTCGTTGTGTCCTTGGGCAAGACACTTCACCCGTTGCCTACTGGTGGTGGTCAGAGGGCCCGGTGGCGCCAGTGTCCGGCAGCCTCGCCTCTGTCAGTGCGCCCCAGGGTGGCTGTGGCTACAATGTAGCTGCCATCACCAGTGTGTGGATGTGTGTGTGAATGACTGGATATGTAAAGCGCTTTGGGGTCCTTAGGGACTAGTAAAGTGCTATATAAATACAGGCCATTTACCGTTTTTATTTATTTAAGTGTGGAAATGTAGCGGCGTGTTGGCTTATTCTGAAAACTAGAACGCAGTTTAGCTTTGCCTGATTCAAAGACATGTAGTTAGTTTAGTATGAAATCCAGCTGCTTGTTGTCTTTGCTAAATTTGAAAACTAGCAGCCATTTGTACCTGTTTATTTTGAAAGCTTAGTTTAAAACTAGCCTCCAGTCAGTTTTGCTAAACAGGAGTTATTTTATTTTGAAACCGGTCCAGAGTTTTGACAGTTGTGCTTTAGCTTTTAAAGCCCAATGTCTTCAGCAGCCTGTGTGTTTGGCTGCTTGAGACTTGGACAGTTACCTTTCCTTTTTGCACTGAAGCTAATGACTGCAGCCATCCGGTGTTAAGTCTGACGTCACTAGCCGTGTCTGGGCCTAAACTCCGCTGCAGGTCCATATATCAAACGATCACTATGGCATTACTGAGAGTTGAAAAACTGTCTAAAGTCTTTCATCTTTAATAAAATGATCAGCGTTCTGCTCTACCAGGTGTAACAATTGAGTTTAACATCCAGGCATCCATGAAAACGGAATTTATGACATTTAACGGAGTTAGAAGTTAGCAGGGAGTTAGCTCGCTAGCTTCTATCTAAATACAATATAGCATGTCCTGACTGCGGGGTTTTGGAAACAAATTAAAACGTACAGCTCTGCTATCACTTCCAGCATAAATGAAGACAGAAAACTAAACAGCAGTGACGTTTGTAGGGTTACTGAAGTTGGGCTAGCTGGTATATAATGATGTGCTACGTGACCGCTAGCGACACAGCTATGTTAGCATAATATAAACAAGCTAACTTTTTTTCCACTCATAAAAGTTAACGTGAGTGTTCTCGGTGGTCAGGAACAAATGTAATCGCATGGCAGGATGCTGTAAAAGGACCAAACTTCAGCCAGGAGAACAACTGAGATAATCCATCCACAATACGAGGTTAGTCATTCATATACTGCTGCATGGGCTGGGCTGTAGTTACATCCTAAGGTTTTAAAAACTGAGCTTAAATAAATGATTAGCGGTAATAAAAGCCGAGGGAGGTCAACAGTGATCACTGACTGTTTTAGGAGCTTTTTGAGATCAAATAGAAGAAAATACATAACATTAAACATGTTAACAACACAAAAGCCATATTAAACGCAGACTACTTTAGGCCCGGAAGTAGGATTCGTCGCGTCATCACTTAACAATCGGATAGCTTTATATTTAGCAGCAGATCCAAGCGCTCTATCGTCTTGTCTAGCTTGGCAGGAAAGCGAATAAGTGCTTTTCCTAAAAGCTCCAGCTACGAGTTCATGTTTGAAACAAAGTGAATAATAAAGACATGGAGTCAAAGGTTCAGTTGCAAATCTTACACAGATCTTTATTGTTCTTTTAATTACATCAAATTGCCGTTTCACTCGTTTTCATCTCAACAACCAACCAAATCCTGTAGTCACTTTCCCAATCCTTCCTCATCTGCCTTCCCCTACGTACAGTTTCCTTTCATTTCTTTCCATCCATGAGCAACATTCCCCATCCACCTGAGCAGATGACGGGAGTTACACATGTCACACTGAGCGTTTCACTTCCTAAACGTTCTCGTCTTTGTTCTCTTCTGCCTTCAACAACTTTCATCGTCGCTCAGTCCCGTCCTTCGGGACAGTTGCATACATCATGCCGCCTCTTCAGGTGCAAGCGGCGTCCACAACTAAAGCTCCATGCAAGATCCTACACTGAAAAGTGATCCGCCTCATTCTCAGGCATCAGCTTTTTAAGAAACCAACGTGGCTCAGTTCAAAATGTTGTCTTAAACAAAACTCATCATCTCGTCTGCGATATGAGTTCATCACGGTTTTTTGCTGACATATCATCTGTTCTGGAATTAAATTAATGCCTCTGTAGTAAATAAAATAAAATAATGTCTGGCTTCTAGCATCTGTTATTTAAGGAATGTATAAAAATAAGACATCTTCTGCTCAGTCTAAAAACCCAACTATGACAGAAATCTGTTTGTGTGGTACACCTCACCTTTTTAGGGGTCGGCTTTTTGTCTTTCACCTTGACATCGGCAAATGTTCAAAAACCTGCCCCTAACAGCTAAAACTCTGCTGCTTTACAATACCTAAAACAATACTAGGATAGATTTGAAAATATAAAATGTATTATCCCCCAAAGAAAGGTCTAAAAGAATGTTTAAATATGAACTTTATAGTAAACAGGATCTGATGCACCAACTCTTTCTTCAAGAACTCAGCAAACTGGCCACACCGAGTGTGAACCGTGGGTTTACTTCTTGTCATGCTTCCCTTTTAGAGCTGAACCACGTGCACCCCCCTCCAGAATACTGTGTCTCTATGGGATGCACTTGGATGGAGGAGTAAGGTAAATAGCTGCCAAGGAGGACAGTAACAGAACACTGCTGTAATAACACGCAGACACTCATAAATGTGCTGTGCTGTTTTATGTACAGGAAAAACAAAGAGGTCCATCCACGTTCTCTACCAACGCTCCACCTCACACCATCGTCTCTTTTCTCTTCCCTAAAGAACACAGAGCCTTCTTGTCCTTTTTGGTTTTATGTGTCGTGGGTGAGGATGACGTCGATGACACGGACGTCGTGGACGACGACGGGGAGCGAGGCGAAGGGGACGCCGTGGTGGGGCTGTTGCACAGTGAGGCGGGGGCCGACTGAGAGCCTGGCTGCGGGTAGTTCTCGTCTGCTTCCTCCATGTGGATGATGGCAGAAACGGAGGAAGGGCGGCGCTTGGAACGGACGCTGCCTGTAGGCGGGCTGGGGCTGGAGGGCTCGCTCAGAGGCCGGTGGACGGCAATGGCACTACGGAGGCAGTTGAGCCACTGCTGCTTGTGGAAGACGTCGTTGACCTGCAGAGTGTGTGACTGTGCCTGGCTCGGGTCTTGGGAACGTACCCGGAAAATGTTCTTGGCTGCAGAGAAAGCAGAGAACGTCATTAGGAACGGGGGCTGCTCAGGCTACTAGCGGACACTTTCTGGGACGAGCCTTACCTTTGTCTGCATTGCTGAAGGCTCCTCTGAAAGAGCCGCCCATTCTGACATCGCCATCTTGCAGGTCCTCCAGCACCAGATCCTGCACTGCGATTGGCTGCCGGTACACCTGGAAGCACTGGCGCTCGTTCCTGGTGACGGGGCGGGTCAGGATCAGCAGGTCGGTGAACAGGAACACGTGCAGCTTCTGAAAGAATTTACAGGAAAAACAGAAACTTTCAAACCAGAGCATCATCTGAGCACATAGCCCGCCTCATGTGGGACGGCAGCCTCGTGTTAACATGCAAAGAGAAGCACCGAAGGACGACTTGGAAGTGTGCGCTGTGCTCACCGTGCCGCTCTTGTTGCGCAGCTCCCCGTGACACAGAAGACTCTTGCACCGTTCGATGCGAGCGTCCCTCTGCCTGTCGTCCAGATACTCCAGCTTGTCGATGTAGTACTGGCACTCGGACTCCCCCTTCTTCTTGTTGATGCCAGACAAAACTCCCTGGATGACAGTGATCTGAACACACAAGCAGCCTAATTATTACATGGGAGAGGCACTATGATGAATCAGTGTGTTGAACCAGTTTGTCTCCTGGACTTACAGCTTCCTGCAGGCTGGCAGCATCGGGGTGTTCTGCTGGAGTGTGTCTCAGGATTTCCTTGAGCAGTAGGGGGTACTTGACCAGGCGGGATCTGGGAATGTCCAGGAAGCTCCACAGGTCCAGTTTCCGACTAAACGGTGACTCGAGGCACCGCTGCAGGAAGTCCTGCACACGTGGGTCTTGCTTCTTCTGGTCCAGCAGCGCCTTGGCTGCCAGCTGGTTACTGCAGTAGTCTTTGTAGGCATTGAGCCTGGGCAGCTGCAAAGGAAGGAGGGACTCTTTATCTAACTGCTAATTCAAAATACGGTTTTACTAGCGTAAAAGCTTTTGATGGCTCAAAAAGTCAAAGACACTTACCCAGCTAATAACAATTTGCCCAATCTGGCCCACGGTCCCGTCTGGCCCCGTGGCTTTGGAGAGCTGCGCCAGAAGGTCCTCGTGCAGTGGGATGTAGGCATCCAAGTTGCCGAAAATGTGAGTAAGCTCCTCCTCCGACATGATGGACAGCTTCAGCATCGGGTCGTGGTACGCCTGTGGATGGAGCAAAGTGATCAGTAATATCTGGGCAGAGCTTTGGGAGCAGCTACTAAAAATATCTTGGTCAACAGCTTTAGGGGTACAAAAAAAAAAGACAGAGGAACAATCCCTGTCTTTTTATAGCTCCTGGCTGCGCTGCATTCAAAGCCTGCCAGACTGATTTAATCTGTTTGCTTTATATGTACTCCCGCTGCCTCAGAGCTTTTAAAAGTACAAACCTTGCGTGCAAGCTGCAGGTCCTCAATCAGATCCTGTTCTCCACGAAACAGCTCAAATATGGCCTGAGGAATGGGAGAAGGCACAGACAGATGTTTTTTTAGTAAACATGTAAATCAGGTTGTCATTACATCGTAGCCTAAACCATAGTGAGCTTAGCCAAGATGGCTGAATGGCTTCTAGTCCAATTTAAACCATTTGACACAAAGACATGTGAACTAGTCTAGCAAGCATGTAGAATTCATCCCTGTCTGGACTCCTGGACTCACCTCTTGCCGCTTGATCTCTTTGGTGGAGAAAGTTCCTTTCTGGTGGATGTCTAATGTCTCGGACCATAAGGTGCTGTTCCTCCTTTTAGGTGGTGTGGGGGCCGCTGCCTTGCTGCAAGGCTTCTGGGGCACGCCCGGCAACTTGCCATCGCCCCGGAAAGAGGCCTTCAGAAAGAAAGAACACCACATGTCAGACATGTTGAAAGGGATGTCCCTGTCCCCCCAATGCGCTGTGTTTCCATTGGATGCCGTGAGCGCTTACCTGGATGGTTTGGCCGAAGCGCCGGACGGCCCCATTCTTTACCGGAGAAATGAGGTTGGCTAGCGACGTCACCCTGCCGAGAGAACGGACGCGCTTGTTGCTGGGTTCCTGCAGAAGGAGGCAAAAACAGAAGGGGAGGTTAGTCGTGCAGTTATTCTATCATAACTCGTGTCTGAAAACCCTGAAAGTCTGAAGTGCGAGAGAGGCAGATCAAAACGAATCGATCAGTAACTGTGACACCTCAGCAAAGACTTCCTTGTGACAAAACACGTCAAGTCAGTTCATAAATCCTGGTTATGAACTCTAGTCCCTCCTTTAAGACGAGCAGCTGGAGCCGAGGTCAAGCCGCAGGCAGACAGCCTGGCGGAGCGGCAGACAGAGATACTAAGGAGGAGGAAGCACTTCCAGCAGCTGTTGGCTCCATCATATGAAGAGTCCTGAGCCAGGCCAGCCCACTGAGCACAAAGACCCTCTCTCACTGCTGATCTGGAGGGGAAGGGGGTCTGGAGGAATGCCAGGAATGCACGAGACCGTGCTTCTCAGCTGTTCAGTGTCTCTAATCTGCTGCTATCTGCTCTGACAAGAGCGAAAACTCAAGTACAGAGTGGATCTGCTGCATCGCTCAAACTGGGATAAATGATTCCTGATTTACGGATGGAGCTGCGTGGCAGCGTGCTGCTGCTACGAGCAAGAAAAAGGAGCAGCAGTCAGGAATACAGCAAAGTGTTTACGCAGTGCAGCGCTGCATGGGGCACACCACACAATTTATGGCTGCGAGTTGAAACACGCTCTTCAACAAGCATTGCGTGAGAGAGTACTGCACCTGGGGCAGGTGACCCCCCCTTACACACACAACTCCTCACTCGCCCCGAGGCTGGGAGAAACAGGAATCAAAGAGCAGCAGGGTAATGATTATAATTCCACACGATTTGCATTTTCTTCTGCAGTGTAACATCTTAACATGGCAGTGATGCAGTTTTGCCCTCTGAAGATAAAACACATCGCTTGTGTTTCCCTGACGCACACCAAATGAGATTTTGTCCCGGCTCAGCAAATGTGGGAAACAGTACAGCCACTGAGGCTCCGGTCTCTGTGGACGCAGCTGTGGAACAGCTCAGTCTGCTGTGGCTGCGGTCAGACTCTCCACGGAGAACTTAGCAAGCCCTCGAGTGGCGGGGGCCACATGTCAACTGCTTTCCTCTTTTTGTAACTTATCTGTGGCTACCAGACTTGGCTCCCTCTAAGTGATCACCAGTTCATATCTGTGGACAAATAAGTGGTAACAAGTAGTTTTTGTGTGTTTTTGAGGGGCAGGGGGAAAATAGTGGAAAAGCGTAGTGGCCATGAAGCGCTGTGGACGCGGATAATGAGAGGCCACTCGTCCTGCTCTTTGTATATCAGCAGTTAAACAGGGAATGCTGCTATTCCTGGCAGTCCTGTGGCATTAGAGCGAGTCAGGCTGGAAACCATTCAGATCTGGGCTCAGTCAGTCGAACCCTCCAGACATAATATACATGCAGCCTCCTTCAACTTTCAACCTCAAACTTTTCTCAGCTCCCTCCCTGTGCTTCCTCTTTGATGTAACCTCACATGTGCCAGATGTGTCCCTGTGATTACAGCTTAGAAAATGATGGAAAAAAGAACAGGCACAAATCAAAGGACGGAGGTACTTAGAAAGTCAGCACAGAGTGAAAATACAGGGTTCTACTGAAAGAAAGGACTCAATTCGTGAAGTGTTTCCAGACTTGTCTTTTGCAAAGAGATTTACTGTCAGTGAAGCCACACAGGCACAGGGAAATACACAGACAGCACCTGGGTTTCCTACGATATCTGCTGCTTTCATTGTAAAACGCATTACCCTTTGAATGCTTGGTTGTTTACTGAGACCCTACCCCCTGCTGTCTCACTGTTCCTGTACTCTTCTGTCTGCTCACTATGGACCTGATCTCCCCATTTCCCACTGAGACTGAGGTGTCTGCTGGGGTGCGTACGAGAGCAGGGGGAATAGTGCGTGGGGGAGGTCGTTACTGTTCACAACTAAAAAGGTGCAGTGTAGTCCAATGATTAACTTTTCAGGGTTTGACAGTATCTTAAGCATTGTCCCAAGTGCCCTGGAACAAAGGTCAAAGTCTCTGTGCACACACACACACACACACGCACACACGCACACACACACACACACACACACACTGTGTACATACGTGAGATAAAAACCAGGGTTAGGTGCTGATTGACTCACAGTGTGATACCTAACACCACACTATGACTTCATTTCCAGCAGCTCTGGTCAAACATTTACAGAGTAAAGTTTCAGCCATCTCACCTCTAAGTCCTTGTTGGCCTGGTTCTGGCAGTCTGTCACTTGCAGAGTCCGTTTGATAGGCACCAAGCTACCCACTTCATCGTAAGCCACCATATCTTTCAGTAGAAACACAGAATCCTTTTAATCCTCACGAGTTGGCTTCAAGTAATCCACACCAGAGAGAAAAAAGGTGGCAGAAAATCAAGAGTTATAAGCACGTAAAAAGACGGAACAGATACACCTTCCCCCTGTTTGGCTTTTTCTGGCATGGGGCTCCCTCCTCACTCTGCCTCGCACTCAGCTCTAAACGTTGGTCTGAGGCAGAGCAGGAGGGGAGGACTATATATGCAGGGGAGGAGTCCCGAGGAGGGACAGAGGGACGGGTCTACCTGAGGAAACAGAATGCCTTTGAACAGCTCCTACTCAGTGCAGACAAATAGCTGCCCGCATGCTTTGCTGCTCTATCGAGTCCAAATATTACTATGAAATGTAAAAATGATGGGCTAAGTGTGGTGGACACACAGCAGGTCCATACTACGGGCTAGTTTCTGTAATTCAGTCAATGGAGCCTGAATTCGTTGAATTAAAGACACATTTCTGGAAAGTATTTACAGCTGTATAGTTTATCAATATGTTTACTGATCCACGATTTGCTACATCTGTAGATCCCATAAAAGCATTACTTAATCATAAAGGTACCTAGTGACAAACCATTGTTACATTCTTCTACATTTAGTTCAGATTTCTGATTTTACTTTTAAATCCAAAGTTAACCGAATAGTAGAAAATATGTCCAAGAGAGACACGATCTGTGCAGCAGGGCTCATTAATTACACTGTTCTGCACATACATTAGCTGAATAACTGATGGATACTCTGAGGCATTGTTTCTTTTTACCAAATTCATCAAGATAAGGGCCAGAGGCAGGAAACAGGCTGATTTTTTCATGTTATCCCATCAGTCTTGAGCTCCTTACCTTCAGTCATCTACAGGACAGAGGCTCTTATCATGTGAAGACAGTTTGATGAAGGGCTGAAAGACTAAAACAGTAACTTACTATGATAAAGACATGATTTCACTGCACAGAGAGAGAATGACAGTAAAAAGATAAAACATTGGAATCCGTGTTATTTTAAATATCAACCATTGCTCCTAACTGACAGAAACCATGACAATCACAGTTCTCAGTGCTAATTATTATAAATGGAAACATTAAAACCTAAAAAGAATCAAATTTAGCTTTCAGAAGTGTCACATGTAGCTAGTTTGCGTCACTAAATCAAAGAGTATAAACACTGTTTTAGTTACAGTTTCAATGTCACAGGAATGTTTTAATTAAAGTCTTAATCAAGTCATTAAAAACATTAAAAGGTCATACGCTTGGTCGTACTCAGCTTTCCATCAAGTGCCACAAAAGCTGAAACTAATTGATTTGGTTTGATTAATGGATTTCAATCAACAAACTATTATGGGGGCAGTGGTTTCTGCTTCTGGCTTGAAAGTCTTCCTATCAGTCTCATCAGCTGAACTGGGACTGAGGAGATGGTCAATTTGCATATCAACAGCAGGGAGCATTGTGACACACTCAGCCAGATGTTTGAACTGAAACCGGGATATTGAGCAGCACTGGGGTGGGGGCAGGGGACCGCTGCAGCTCATATGTTGATTGCTCTAATTAAGGGAGGGGGTGGCAACATGCTGCCAGTTTCAGTAAGGACAAAAGAACTAAGCAGAAGCCAAACACGTGGCTCTTTTCATGCATATGTGCACATCGAAAACGGACATTTTATCCGACAGGCGAACACGGCTGAAGGACAACCTTGTGAAGCCTGTGTTTTCCTGCCCAAATGGACTCCGTTCATCCGCCTGGGTCAACACAGAGGTGTGAAACCAGCCACAAGCTTCATGCATGCTCCTGATGGGGGTGTCGAGATGTTAACACTTGGTCTTTGGGTTTGTTGACGCAGCAGTCAGAAGTCTGATGATCCTCCAACCAAAGAGGAGTATGAGCATGTACCGAGTAACTTCAGTCTCAGGCTAAAAATGAGAGTTTATACTGTCACATATAGTTTATATGGCAAAGCACAGAGAAAACTATGCAGACAGAAGAGTCACGCAGGCTCTAATAAAACCTGTCTGTGTGTAGTCTGTGTGCCTGTGGTAGACACTGTGCGGTCCTGCTGTTACTCACTCTTACGGGGAGACCTCGGCTGAATCAGCTGAACGTCTGGTCCAGACCCCGTAAAAACAACACCAGACTGAGCTGCAGCTGGAGTACAGTGGTGACTCCCAAAACCTGTCTGAGCGCAGCCCGCTGACTTGTGCAGTAGCGTGTGTAATGCACCGCTCTGCAGACTTTCACCTTTGTCTAACCTATGTCGTGCCAGGGACAGACAACCCCGAGGCCTCAAGAGGCTGAGCTCAACCTGTACTTCACATCAGCAGCTGTGAGTGCAGAGCACATAGAGCCTAATTACAGCTTCCAGAAAGGCATAAAGCAGGAAGCTCCAGGCACAGAAATACTGCTGAGTGATTCAAAGTAAGAAGAGAACAGGGGGAAGGTGCTGCTGCCCTCTGCTGATGGGATAGAAAGCGAGTGTTTCTGATTCTGTGGCAAACTGGAGGCATGAACACATCCCCCTAAAATGTATTCCCTACATGGAAAATGACCGTACATGCTTCTGTCCATTCCAGTGCTCAGTGCTTTTCTGTCTTTGTTTTTTGCAGTTTTTGCACACTTTATGCAGTCCTGTGTAGACTGTCTGTCACATGTAGCACCAGGGTCTGTCTCCTTTCACTGTGCACTGTACCACTGCACGTGGTTGGAATGACAATAAAGCCACTTGACTTGACTAAACTACAGTTTTTGGGGGTTTTTATGTAAAGTATCCTTATAGTTTTAGAAACCTGCAGATAACTCACTGAAGAAAGAGTGTTTACAGTTCCAGTGCAGACCTATTTTTCAGCTGAAGCTTTAGTTAAACACAGAGGACGTTTTGTCCAGTCCTTTAACACAGTCAACACATTAATTATGTCATCACACGATTCTGCTGCCTGTTTTCAATGATGCCACAAAAATGCTGGGACTCTATTTTAAACCCCGATAGCTCAAACTACTTGAAACATGTTTTGATTGATGTTGAAAGCGATGTACTGTTGCTCATCTTTTAGAGATTTCGTGTCTCCATGGGACCACTCAGGCTAAAGTAGTCCATCCTTAGAGGGTGAATGCGGATAACTGTGCCAATATTGTACATATATATATATATATGCCTGTCCCGTTTGGCTCTTTTGCCATCAGAATTGTTGTCTAAAGGCAAAGAAAGATGCCCAACGGATTTACTTTACCAAATTGACCATCCCAGCCTTGCCTAATGGTCCATTTGATTCACCTTTTATTGTTTATTTTATTTTCACTTACTGAATACGGGACAGACTTGACTGGGGGAAAGAAGGGGAGAAAGAAAGAGGGAAAGAGAAACAGCTGAGAAGAGGGACGGGGGAGAAGGGCAAAAACAAAAACCAACAGAATGAGCAGAAAAAGAAAAAAAAGAAGAAAAAAGAAAAAAAATGCATATATCAATCACCTGGGTCACCTGCTGAGAAAGAAAAAAGAAAACAAGCAGAAGAGAACAAGAGTAATAGAATAAACAACATCACAATGATATATGGGAATATGACAGTAAATACTAAATATTAAACATTATTGTGCAGCACATAAGATCAACAGAACACAGTGTGCTTTGAGGTAGGAGCCAAAAAGGGTGTAGTTTGTGGGTGTGATCACCCGTGTGTACACCTGTGAGCATGGACGCGTTGTTTTTTTTAAAAGGTTCCTTCATGTAATGATCTGCTAGAGGGTGTGGGGGGGCCACAGCCCCGTCCTCCAGGGATGAAGCAGGTATGGAGGAGATCAAAACTCCAGACATCCAGAGGCCCCCAGAACACAAGAGACCAAGGAAGACCAACAGAGGGGCAGCCGCGCCACTGTCCCAGAAAGAGCTGAGGAGAGTCCCAGATGAGGGCTCACTCAGCAGCCGCGGAGCAGAAGCCAGGGGGAGTTGCAGTGACGCGCCCGTGAGCTCCGCCGGCAGCCAGCTGTGCCTGAGTGACCGAGCCCCAGGCCGAGAGGCCGGGGGCACCCCACCTCCGAAGTGGCCCGAGCGAAGCCCCAGGCTCCAGGCCCCGATAAGCGGCCGCCAAGGAGTGAGCCGGTGTGTACCTGGATCGCCCATCCCCGGACACAAAGAACCACCAACGCACCGATGTCTGAGGGAGTCCGCCACTGGCAGGGGAAGTGGTGGTAGGGGGAGATAGGCCTCCATAACCTTGGAGGGCCTGAGATGTCCCCAGAGAGGTGGCGCCTGACACCCAACCTGACATATAGACACAGACATACAGGCACACACAGATACAAACATCCATTCCCACCCTCATGCTCTCATATCACTTACTCCACACTCAACCAACGTGGAGACAGACATAAAGAGACGCTGTACACACGATCACACTCCCCAAGCGTACTCTACAAAGCCCGGGTCTAGGTACCCTTGCCCCTGGAGGGGGGAACTGCACCCAGACCCAGGTGGTGTTACCCTTTTCCCTGCGGTGGGGGGAGGCAGACCGCCCCGACTCCGCAGCAGCAGGGAGGCCCCACACTCCAGACCGCAGTCGGACGGCCAACTCCTCCTCCTAGCCCCCCCGCTCCAGCAGGTCGCAGAGAATGGGGGTGAGAGAAGACTCCAAACCTCCCTCCACCCGCTCATTGTAGTGTTGATGCATGTGTGTTCTAAGGTGCATTTAAAACCCAGGAGGGCATGGAGCTACCTGCCAGAGAGCAGCAGGTAAGCGCATGGTCCCTCCTGCTAGCCCTCAATGTCTACGTGTATTTAAAATTGAGAGGTGGGCAACGATGCCAGGGGTGGGGTGTACACCCTGATGGTACTTTGGACTCCGTGTATCGTGCCCACCCCCCAAGATCCTATATGTATGTGTAATGAGAGTGTGAGTAATGTGAATGTCTAAGTTGTGGGATAAAATTGAGGCAGAGGCAGCCAGAAGGAGACAGAGGGGGGGGGGTAGCCTCCTCTGCACCCTGGTGACATACCCCTACTCCAAGGCCCTGCATGTGTGGGTGGTTGTGGTGGAGCGGGAAGAGGGAGGCAGCTGGAGATGGGGAGGGAAGGAAGGGAGGGGCAAGTGACCCCTCCCTGGGGCCAGCTCCCCCGCTGACCCCAGTAGGCACCCCCATACTCCGCGACCCGCCAGGGAAAGGGGGCCCAGGCCCATCCAGACCGGGGCCCAGCGCAGCAGCGCCTCCCGGCCCCACAGAGCCCGGGACAGTCCACCCAACCCCACCACAGAGAAAACTGCACCCACCCCACCATCCACTCTTCTTCCAGACTACATAAGACAATAAACACCCAGGCTGAGATCTTCCTCCACCTCTCCTGTATCTCCCCCTCCTGCAGAGAGAGCCCCTGAGGAGAGGAAAGCTCCTGCAAGATGTGACAATCTTCCCCACCAGTTGAAGAGCCCCCCAGGTGGCTCGATGCACCGGCGGCACCCTGCTCCAGGGCTGGGCCCCCATGCACCCACCCGCCCACAACCCCGGCAACACACCAACCAGGACCCAAGCCCCC